TTGCAAATTTGACGTTTTGAGTCAAATATATTCATTTATTCACTTATTTAGGATATCAATTTGATAGATTATATATCTAGAGAGAAGTGAGAGCTAGAGAGAGAAGTGCAATAACTCTTTGCAATAAAGGATTTGTCAACCCCTACAACTACTCCCAGAGGAAGTATTTATAGGGAAAATACGGGCTGGGCTCCCAAGCCTTGGGCTTGGGAGGTCCATTTACAACAGGGCCTCTAATGGGCCGAATACAAAGTGTACATAAATGACTAAGTATAACATCCCTTGTAGAGGCTATCTATGGCCGATGAGGGCATGGCCGATGAGGTCACCCGGTTCTCCTAGATTCTGGATCCTATTCTGAGTAGACTTCTTTCTGGCCGATGGAGGTCATCCGGCCGACGGGGGTCCTACCAGGTGATCGTGTTACCTTCTGTTCTTCTGAGTATGTGGGTTCTGGGGCCTAGACCCATATACTCCATCAGGAGTCCCCCACTCTCTAAGCTGAGACGTTGACGAAGTGAAGGAGAGTATATTTCTATCCTTTTTTGTTTGGCCGTTGTGTGCTGCTCGATGTGGACGAAGAGGGCCCTAGTCATGCGGATGATGCGTGTTTTTCTGTTTAAGGACGACGAGTGCCTTTGCTTGGTGGAGACGATGAGCGTCCTCTGTCATGAGTGGCCGATGAAGACGGTGCTTCCTTGTTCCTGACCGTTGATGGTTGAATTTCGTGCTTTGGGCCGAGGAGGCCATTGTGGTTATCTCTTGTTTGAGGATTATGGGTGTCCTTTTGTTTCCGGATGGCCGGTGAGGGTGTTGTTTGCTTTCTTTGGTCGTCGTTGCTCTCATTCTGTGCTTTTAGCCGAGGAGTGGTGGTATTCGTAGCTTGGTGTCCATGTTTTTGAGGACGATAGTGGCACTGATCCGGAAGGAGTAGTGCGTATCCTGGTCTCGTGGACGACGGTGATCTGAGGACGTTGAGTTCCTGTTTTAATTCTTGGCCGAGAGTGGAGTATGTGGTCTCAAAGCCGTTGAGTGCCCTGTGATCTCAGATGTTGCATCTTTGGAGGGAATTCTTTGTTTGCTGACTTTGCTGCGGCCGACGGTGCACCACAAGGTTATGGACGCTGTGGTGCATATATGATCTGATGTTGTAGTTGTGGACTTAGTATATTTTTGGATTTCTTTGATTTTGTCCTCTTGATTTCCAGAGGCCGGTGTAGTCCCCCAACCCCCACTGCTTCAGGGCGAAGAGTGATTGAGGGGTGAAGGAGTAAAGAATAACCCTAGGCCGAAGCGGGATTCTTGTATTCCCCTGGATCCAAATCCTTGGCGATTTCCTGACCAAGGTAACCCTGTGGGAGAACCCTTGGACGCAGGTCGCTTGCAAGAAATTATCATCAGGGTTTTATACAAGGCCGATGGCTGTGGGGTTGCTTTTTGCTTTGCTGTCGTGGCCGTTAAAAGGGCCATGCTGTTGGAATTCTGTTTGGGCCGATATGGGCACACCTTGTGGTGTGACCTACCCTTTTGAAGTCATGTTTGCATTGAGGCCGATGTAGGCGTGCCCTCTTAGTGTGGCCGTTGAGTGGTTGGCCGTTATGGACGCTGATTACTGTCACGTTGGTGATGGGTTGGTACTGATGGAAGTGGGCCTGACCCGTCCTTTGAATCGGTGCCAGCCCAATGGGCCCTGGGGTTGGTGGCCGTTAATGTAGCCAACGGGTGCGTGCCACGTGTAGTGACCGTTGGGGGAGGGTCTATAAATACCTCCTCCCTCCGAAGAGGCTCCCCATTGCATTCTTGAGATAACGAAGTGCTGCCCAATTTTCTAGAGAGAGAGCCTTGTTCGTGTGTTCTTCCGCTCTTCAAAACTTCAAAGGTCAATTCATCGAACTTTTCTCCACTTCCTTGCATATTTTGCTTCTTTTAGACCTTGATCCAGTGTTAGTCACGAAAACACCTCAGATCTGAAGTAGTCCCCCTTAGAACTGTGATATCTGTTATAATGAAGACCTTAGACGAAGAGTACTACCCTTACGACGATGAGGCCTGTGTTAAGTCCCTTGACTACCGGGTGGTGGAAGAGTGCTGTGAGGAAATTGAGGACTTGAGTCCCTTGAAGACGGGGGAGCAAGAGGACGATGAAGGTGCGGGCGAGGAGGCCGCCTCGTCGTCTGAGGGGGAAGACGTAGGGGTCTCCCGCGCTATGGACGGTGCGTCTACTTCGACCGCCATTCCTTGCCCGAAACCGGTTTCTGCCGTCAAGGGAGCCGCCCCGAAGAGGAGGCGCCGGCCGAAGAAAGGCCCAGGTTTCTCCTATCTGGACCTTAGCAACATCTACCTCATCAAGCCGCAGAGTGTTGCGGCTGATTACTTAGTTGCCCAGATGTACGTAGGGCCTTTTGGTAGGGTTAGAGCTCCTAGGCCGACGGACCATGTTCTTAATCCTCCACCGGGGTATTTTGGGGTGTACCCAAAATATATTATATATCTAGAGAGAAGTGAGATTATATATCTAGAGAAGTGAGATAGAGAGAAGTGAGAGCTAGAGAGAGAAGTGCAATAACTCTTTGCAATAAAGGATTTGTCAACCCCTACAACTACTCCCAGAGGAAATATTTATAGGGAAAATACGGGTTGGGCTCCCAAGCCTTGGGCTTTGGAGGCCCATTTACAACAGGGCCTCTAATGGGCCGAATACAAAGTGTACAGAAATGACTAAGTATAACATCCCGTTCTAGAGGTTATCTATGGCCGATGAGGGCATGGCCGACGAGGTCACCCGGTTCTCCTGGCTTCTGGATCCTATTCTGAGTAGACTTCTTTCTGGCCGATGGAGGTCATCCGGCTGACAGGGGTCCTACCAGGTGATCGTGGTACCTTCTGTTCTTCTGAGTATGTGGGTCCTGGGGCCTAGACCCATATACTCCATCACAATTCTTAATTAAATTTTAATTTGAATTTTGCAACTTTATAGTTATTTTATTGTAGTTTCAGAGTATGTAAATTTTAATTATTAAATTTGAATTAACTATCAATAGGAAGAATTTAACTTCATTATTGGTTGACCAAAAATGTAGATGAGTGTGGCAGAGATGCGCATGCTGCATTGGATGTGTGTGGGCATACTAGGAAGGACCGCGTGAGGAATGAGACAATCAGACAAAGGGTGGGAGTAGCACCTATTGAAGATAAGTGCGGGAGTCACGCCTACGGTGGTTTGGTCATGTGCGTAGAAGACCGAGTGATGCACCTGTCAGACGAGTTGAGATGTGTGGAGAAGAGGCAGGGAAGAGAGGGAGAGGAAGACCCAAACGGACGTGGGTTAGGGGAGTTCGAAGTGATGTGCTTCTTCTGGGGTTGGATGAGGGCATGACTTTGGAGAGAACTAAATGAAGGGCGGGTATTCACGTGAAGGAGTCATCTCGTATAATCTTTTTCCCTCATCTTTTTTTCCTTGTTTTTTATCCTTATATATATAAGCATTATTTGTAGCCTTTTTATTTTATCATTTTTATGTTTATTCATCTCTTTTTATATTATCTTTTTATATTATCTTTTTATAATAGCTTATCTTTTTTATCTTTATTTTCTTTCTTTTTCTTTTGGTTGTGATATCATGTATGGATTCATGTTAGCCGACCCCAATATCTTTTGGGACTAAGGCTTGGATGTTGTTGTATCGGTTGACTGGACTTTGCAAAACAATTTGGGACAGAAGTAACATGTAAAACTCTAAGCCGTGTATGCTTGATACAAATAATCAAATGGAGTATTCTTTGTTGTACGTTGTAGTTAATGATTTTGCTTCGAAGGTTGCTAGGAGGACAACCCAAAGTTATAGCTCATCCATTATGTAATACTTTTTCCGTCCCTTATAACCAAGTATCTTTCCTTTTTTTATTGTATAAAAAACTTTGTTAATTTCCCTTTTAACCAATTGATTTGTGATTCTTGTTATTTCTCTCTCCTTTCCACAAACCTCAATCACACGGTCCTTTATTATTTCACGTAGTCAAACTTGGATGGAGGGAGTATTGTTTTAAGATCATTTAATTTTTGTACTTTTAACAATATAAAATTTAATTTTCTTGAACAATCTAAGTTATTTGTATGTCATGAAATTTAATTACATTATTACAGAGTATATAATATTATTTTTCTTTTTTATGGAGCCTTAATTCATCATTCAGAACAGGGCCACTCAAGGGGCCTCCACCAGCTTCTTTGGGACAGGTACCTCCACTTGAAGACCATCCTCTGGTTCTGGAACCGGCTGCAATCCTCACAGCAGTTTGCATCGCGGCCAATTGGAGTTGTTGGTACACTAGAAGGCATTTCAAGCAGCTTACCCAGCATTTGAGCTTGAGGACAAGCTCATTATCAACAGAGGGAGTGATGATATGGATGCATTCTGGGGTCATGCTTATCAGCCAAGTGCCTAAACTAGGGCAGCAAAATTACTGTTATTATGATTTATTATTAGTTTCCTAATCAGATTACTATTGTTGTTTCCTAATTCAGTTTTAGTAATTTCTTATGATCATTATATTCCTACTAGGATCTGGGCTCTTATGATAGCTATATAAAGGGCCATGGTATTGATTGAAGAGTCCTTCTTGTTGTACCCACTTTTGTACATACATTTGTACTCACCCCTAATTTTGTCTTTGTCTGTGTACAAAGACAAACACAGACAAATGTTGCTTTCTTCTTAACGAATTACCTGTGTGCACAGGCAAAATAGGGAAGTGGGTACAAAAGTGGGTACAAACAGATTTTTTATTGATTAAAAGTACTTATGAAGAATTGATTCTCGAGGGTCCTTGACTAGGTCAGACACGAGATTAATTCCAATAGAGCCTTGTTATTTTCATTTCTTCTCTTGTGCTTCTAATAGATTTCAAAATTGATCTCTCTCTTCCCTGGTTCGCTTTCGTTTTCTTGTTCGAGACCTTGAACGAGATCTTGCTCACGCGCTCTTAACACACTATAAAAATTGAGCTTTTTCCATTAACAGGGTTCAGTTAATAAGGAAATGATATACATAGCTTCTTATAGCTTCATGTTAATGATCTCAAATTTACAAAGTTCTCAGCCTTCTGAGGTTGACCCACACTGTTTAGGAGGCTAATGATGCTATCATAGTGTTCTTCAGATGCTTTAATATCATAATGTCCGGTCATCAAATTAAAAAACAGACAAGCATCATCTGCAAATCCCGCTTGCTCACAAGCGGATAGAACTGCCTTGAAGGTATAGGCGTTTGGAGAAAAGCCCTTCGAGATCATCAGCTTAAAAGTCTCTAGTGCTTCCACATATTGGTTATTGAATCTATAAGCCTCGATGATAGAAGTCCATGTCAGTGATCCTTTATCCACTACTGCGTCAAAAAAATATCTGGCTTTATCAATTGCACTACAGCTGCCATACATTTTAATTATTTCTGCCAAAACATATGGGGAACGGTCAAGATCTTTCTTCAGAACTTGCCCATGCATTTCTCTACCAAGTTTCAGATTTCTAAGTTCACCGCATACTTTCAACGTTCTTCCTATTGCAACTGAGTCTGGTCTGTGATTTGACAACTGCATAGCCCGGAAAACAGAAAGTGCTTCGTGCAGGCATCCAGCTTCTATGTAGGATTCTATCATGGCTGTCCATGTTAGAACATTCCGTTTTTTCATCCCTTCAAACACTCTCAGTGAATACTCAAGCAGACCACACCTTGCATATGCTATGATCAGGGAAGTAGCAACAGGAATATTGGGCAAAATGCCATTTTTCAGAGCATAACAATGAATTTCCTTCCCTTGCACCAAAGCCTTCAGTTCCCCACACACTGGAAGGGCTGTAGCAATGGTAACAAGATCAGGCTTAAAGCCTTCCTGTTGCATCCAAGTAATAGAACGTAAAGCTTGATCCAACCTCCCATTTGTCACATAACCAGACAACAAAGCAGTCCAGGAGATTGCATTTCTCTCCTTTGAACTATAAAACACCTTCCTTCCTGAGCTCAGATCTCCACACTTGCAGTACATATCAATCAGGGCAGACTGAATAAACAGTTGCTTGTTGTACTCGTTTACCTTAATTACATAAGCATGTGCCTCCTGGCCAATTCTCCTTGCCCATACTTCTCCTATTACTGGAAGAATTGAAGTCAGGATAACAGAATTCACTTTCATCCCTTCTTTCATCATCAGTCTTGTAGACTCCAACGCCTCCCATCGACGTCTATTATGAGCAAAACCCGCAATCATGGCACCCCAAGCTACGACGTCCCTATTTTCGATCTCATCAAAAATACGACGTGCAAGCTTAATCTTCCCACATTTGAAATACATATCCATCAGGCTAGTTCTAATTACATTACTACAGAGAAAGCCATTCTTCACCAGAAGCCCATGAACTTTCAAACCGTGTAGAAGTGCAGAGGCCCCAGCAAGACTCTTGATCAAACAGGAGAAACTATACCCATTCAATTCTACTCCCAAACCCCTCATTTCAGAAAACATTTCTAATACCTCCTGATATTTACGGCCACCCAGCACCACAGTTCCTCTAAGCAACGCATTCCAGTTGTAAACACTTGTAACAGGCAATCCATCGAGCACCCTCTCTGCATCCTCAACTGCCCCACATGCAGTGAGCATGTGGACAAGCTTTGTCTGCAAAAACTCATTCTTGTCAAGCCCATTTCTCCTAATATGCTCGTGCACAGCCTTGGCTTCGCTCGTGGACTTCATCCGGATGCAGGCCTGGATAATGGAATTGAAGGTGGTGACGTTTACAGGAATACAGCGAAGGTCCAAGTAATCGAGGATAGTAAGGGCTTCTTTGAGCTTGTTGTCGCGGGCGAGTTTCTGTATATCTTTGTAAATAGAATGTGGGTTTTTGGTGTGAATAGGCATCGAGTTTGGGAAAGCGTCCTGGTCCGAGAATTCCGATGGCGTTTGCACTTTCGTTTTTCTCTTGCTGAAATGTTTCTGCGGAACGCGATGGGTCGGTGGTGATGCTTTGGTCTTGAGAGCATAGCAGTGGCTTTGATGGGTTCTGAGAGAGTTTGGGGGGAGAGAAAAAAGATGGTGGATAGTTGGAGGGAGGGAAGCGGCAGTGCAATTGGTGAACTCCATTCACTTCGCTTCCACGAAAGCCGTGGTTTGGTCGTATTCTAATGCGATCTCGTATATGTTTAAGCTTAATTTATAAGGCCACATCCGGGATACCCATTTAAAAAATGGATACGGTACCTACCAGACTTGATTTGTTCACATCGTTACTTAATTTTTAATTTAGATTTAAATAATTCAATTACATCATTCTTATTGGTTCGTGTAGACAAATGTATGGTACCTTAAGGATATCATAGAATCTATCAATTTATAATTATTGAATTATGATCGGGTCTCTTTGACTTCGATCTCTGCAAGTTTGGTATGATTTGTTCCCATCTAACTTAAAATTTATACTGATCTCTTCTGATCTAGTTTAAAACTAAAATCAATCCAAATATAAACATTTGTTTAAAATTCACTAAATCGATGTATCATCATCCTATTCCTCTTCTTCTTCTTTAAATAATAAACTTCTCATGTTACTGTCTTTCTCATGTTACTGTCTTCTTTCGATTAACCTCATTAACTTATATATCCGCAAATGTTTAACTCCCAAAGCACATGATACACAGCTGAGAGTGTTCTCTTCCATACTACTTTGTTGTCGGCTACATATATTCTCTCTCATTTAAGGCTACCATTGAGACCATTTACTTTACTTTGTCAAATGTATGTTGTTGAATGTATCATCCGACTCCTCTGAGATTTAAGGTTTCAATTGTTATAAATAGATTATATACTATCTATGTCCCGTTAAGATTGTTCGATTTTTTCTTTTCAGTCCGTCCCACTAATTTTGTACCATACCAAATTTAGTAAAATTTGTTTCCTTCTAAATAATTTTTAGTTTATTCTTAATATTAATCACGTAAACTCATTTTTTTATAACGGCTTGACCTTCTCTTGTCTCAATGTTACTGGGATGGATGTAGTATTATTTATTATCTTTAGCTACTTATTTGATTAAAATTTGTAATTTTGGAAGATGATGAACTAGATTGTGTTAGAATCATGTGTATACTATAATGGAAGTGAGACTTTTATCTTGAGTAACTATTTAAGTTGAATTAACTATCAATATGGAGAGTTTAACTTCATTATCGGTTAACAAAAAATGTAGACTTTACAAAATAATTTGGAACAAAGGTAGTACGTAAAACTCTAAGCCGTGTGTGATTGCTACAAATAATCAAACGGAGTATTCTTTGTAGTATGTGGTAATTAATGATTTTGCTTAGAAGGTTCCTAGGAGGATGCCCAAAATTATAGCCCATCTATTATGTAATACTTTTTACGTCCCTTATAACTTTGTATTTTTCCTTTAATTTTTTATTGCATAAATTTTTTTGTAAATTTCTCTTTTAATCAATGGAAAAATTCACATTAATAATCCGAACTAAGGGTCTTCTCATATTAATCCCAAGTATACATAATTCTAAAATAATCTGAAATTCATGGGTAGTCTTCTCATATTGATCTAGCCATGACTTATTCCTCTATATTATATTTCTTCATCTTTTTGTGTTCACTTCTTCCAAGCTTCTGCTTTCTCTTCTTCAGTGCCGCATTTTCTTCAGACGAACTCCAGCACCGTGCCTGCCTTCTTCCCAAGCTTCTGCTTTCTCTTCTTCAATTGCCAACGAGAACACCTTCCCCTTACCTGTTCGCCTGCACCAAAAATTTATTGATCTCTGTTGAAGGTAAAATGCATGGTTTAGCAGACAACATCAAAATAGCCCTTTCAAAACCGGGCTGAAGAGAGAACTTCTGAGAAAGTAGGCTGGAGAAAGAATTTCTTTGATGGAAGAAATAAGACCAATTATTTGATGGAAGAAATAAGACCTATTTCTTTAATTATCAAAATAGGACTAAAAGTCATTCACTTTTCACAAATAAGACCAAAAAATAAACTATGTTTGCATAGGACTAATTATGTGTACCTTGGACAATTATACCCTTATAGCTATTAAAATGTTTTAATTCCTAATAAAATAATAAAAAATAATAAAAATTCGTAAAAAATACTAAAAAATTAAGAAAAACATTTCGATATTAAAAATTTAATTATTTTTTTTTTCAAAAAATTAAAAAAAAATAAAAAAAAAAAAAATAAAAATAAAAACTCAAAAAAAAATCGCCGCCGCCTCAGCCGCCTCAGCACCACCACCTCCAGCCACCAGGGGGAAAAAATGCCAAGTTCATTACGAATGCCATATTTATGGCAGAAAAAATGAAAATGTTGGCATTCGAAAAGAGAAATATGCCACTTTTTTGGCATTTTCAGAAAAAAAAATGGCATTTTTCTGGGAAAATGACATTTTTTTCATCGGCCGGAGGTGGTGTTGCTGGGAGGTAGTACAGGCGGTGGGAAAAGCATCCATATTTTTTTAAATTTTTTTTACGAAGTTTTACTATTTTTTATTAATTTTTTTTTAAAAAAAAAATTTAAAAAAAACAGTTTTTGAATTTTTTATTTTATAAAAATTTTATTAATTTTTTAATTATATTTCTACGAATTTTTGAATTTTTTTCGAATTTATTATGAATTAAACATTTAATTATGGCTTTTGACTATTTTTAATTCATATTTAATGGAAGGGTAAGAATGGAATGCAAAAATAGGTATGTTTCCAATAGGACTCATATGGTCCTGTTTTGGAATAAAAACATAGCAAGTCCTATTTTAGGTTTTTGCCATAGTTTTAGTCCTATTTGAACTAATTTCTATAGATTCTTCTTCCCGAGTCCACAAGGTTTAGCAACATCGTCTCATTCAATTTCAAATCAAATACCACCAATTTCACCAAGAGACAGGTAATTCAATCTGATTTAATTTTCGCTGCATCTAGGGTTTGTGCTATGCATTGTTTCATTGCACCCTTCTCGCAATGTATCCTTTTCTCCAGTCTGTAACTGAGATTGGTTTTTTTTCTTTTCATTTTTCTCCTTTTGACTTTGTTAGCCACCCTACTTATCAACAAGACATCCAGCGCTTCCATGTTTGAATGTCGTTAGACCTATGCTCTTTTACGCTGGGATTCTTTTTATTAGATCATCAGTGAAATGTGTTGTTTGATATCCCAAAAAATTCAGATTTTTATTTACAAGCATATCATCAAGAAACCTAATCGTGAAAAAATTTCAACTGTGGCATAATATGATGCGGAAGACAATGTCTACGAACATGTTCTTTTTTCATTTTATAGAAATAATTTATGCATAATACTTCTTACACAAAGGGAAAAGCTTTTTTTGATTTGTTTGCATTCTATTGGGTTTCTTAAAATTTTCGGCATGTGTGTGTAGCAGGGTTCTTTTAGTTTGTAATCACTCTTCCTATTGAATGTGGATATTGCTTTCATTCTACTAATTGCTTTATGAACATATTATTTTACTCTTTTGTTTTATAAATAAAGTTAGAAATTTGTGGTTAACTTCAATTTGAACATATATTATAGTGAAAATATATTTCAACTCACCTGAATGATTAATCACTAAATGATGACCATATAGATTTTCATTGACTCTCAAGTCATTGAATTGAGCCCTCCTTGGTACGGTGTAAAGTTACTCAAATCGCACAGGGACTCCACTGTGTATACATGATATTCCTTAACTACTCCCTCAGGTGCTAAATAAACTTCACACTTTCCATTTTGGGTAGGTCCAAAATAAACTTCACACTTCTTCTCCCTTCCTTATTTGGCAAATTATCTACATCAAAACAGTGTCAAACAGTGTCGCAACAGTGGACTCTACACTAAAGTCAAATTTATTTCCTTAATTTGTGTGAAGTCAAATTGTGAAGTTTATTTAGGACCGTAGGGAGTATTTTTTTTCATTCACTATCCTCTGAGTGTTGCAGATTTCTTCAGCTTCACCAACTGAATATCAAATAGGCTCCAACCAGTTGTTTGGGGTAACAAATTGTTCTTATAGTAAGTTTTTTATTTATTACTCATTATTATTATGATCAAACCAGACCAAATCTGGAGTCAAATTTTGTATATGCAATTTAGATCAGACTAGAAAGTAGAAACATCGGAATCAAACCATACATGCATATATGCCAAAAAAAATCATACTAGATCTTTAAAAACAGATCACTATTTTAGGAAAGTGCATGCCCTAAATTTGAATTTTTTATATTGTTTCATAAGTAACAAGTGTATAATATGACTGGACAAATAAAATGCAGCTATCATCCCATTTTTAGAATTTGATTTATTAGTTCATTTGATCAAGTTGTGTTTTGGTCATATTTACGACGATTGTCAAATTTCGCATTGATATGTGTTGTCCCATATTAGTATAACCTCTAACAATTGTTCTATTTAAAAATAAAGAATTTACATTTGAAATTGGTGCAAGTCTTTTAGTTTTTTTGGCAAGTAATTGCAAATCATGTGATGCTTATGAGAAATATAAGTCATTCATCTTAATTCCGCAACTGCCAATGGCGCACAACTTCTGGTGATTAAATTTGGAGCTCATATTATTGAGGATTAGATGAAGCACGAACAAAAAGACGACGGAAAGTTTGTCATGCTTCGACTTACATTAACACCATCAATGTGAGACTCCCCTTCACTTTTCAGCACAGACATATTCCATTAATGGTTAACTATGCAATAATCATTAATAAGAGATGGGGGCAATCATCGGAAAAGGATAGCATCCTCCCCAATCAGTCTGTTCTTACGCATGCACAATTATATACGGTGGTCTCGAAAGATACAACTCCATTGGGATTGAAGTTCATGATATGTGATGAAGACAGACAACCACCAAAGTCTGCGGTGAATGTTATATACAAAGAAGTTTATAATAATTTATAGATTCTCTTCACAGTCTCATGGACATGCATACACAACTATTTTATCATATGATGATTATACTTAAGTTCAAGCATTTTTAAAATTTCCTATGAAACGTGACTTCTATTTTATTTGATTTTCACTTAATTGATTCATTATCAATTTTGTTTATATAATTCATCTCAGTTTTTCTCTACCGTGCAATGCATCGGTGAAGTAACTAGTTTAAGAAAGAGCGAAGCAGGC